TCATCCATCCACCCATGTACCCATCTATCTACCACCCACCCATCCGCACACCCAAACATACATACATTCATCCATTCATCCATCCACCCACCCACCCATCCAGTCATCCATCCACCCACCCATCTATGCATACATACATTCATTCTTCTGTCCATTCAGTATCCACTCTGCTAAGCTCCTGCTTCATGAGCATCTCCTGTATGGAACCAAGAGATCAAAGATTTAAAAAGATGTACTTCTTTCTTCAAGGATTTCATAGTTTGATGGTTGATCTGGACACATGGGGCCAGTATAAATCACATTTTACCAACTTGAATATGTAAGACAGTCATGTCATTTCTTGAAAACACGAGTTGATTTCTATTCTCAATTTTCAATTCATTAAGGCTACAGAACATAATCCCAGTCTGATTTTCAAAAGACGTAACTATTGCCAAGGCCTTGGGAGAGGGGGGCTTCCAGTCTCCAAATGTTCTGCTTACGGTCCCTAGAGGCATCTGTTACCAGTCGGAGTTACCTTGGATATGGTCCAACCGCTGTCCGTGGTGCCCCTTCCAGCCCACTCCCAGGGGACACAGGCATCTTCCTGCTGTTTGTTTGCCACGTGAGAATGTCCACAGGACTGTGTACAGATTCATCTCCCTAAGGGTTTAGTCTTTAGAGCACAAAATCTTAATGCTTGCAGACTTTTATTTTATTTTCTATGTGTTTATCTTGCTTTGTGCTCTGTCTCAGCCCTTTCTGAGGTAATGATGTGGTAGGAACGAGAAAAGCAAAGGGAGGAATACAGGGGGAGGGGACATAGGTTGGTAGTCACTAATGCGATGCATCTATTCACAGGCTAAGCAGTTCTAATACAAATATATAAATGATCCCAGGGGGTTGGGGAGGTGCCTGGCCAGGCCAGTAAGGAAGAAAGGATGTTCTTAGGCAAAGGGAGCCTCATATGCAGAGGCCTGGGTGTCTCAGACTGTCAGGATGTGTGTAATCAGAGATCAGTGAGTCAGGCTGCAGAGGAAGAAGGTAGCACAAGCCCTTCAGATCCTGGAAATTTGCCTTGGGTGTGTTTCATTTTGTGAAAAGACATCAGCCTGGGGAGCAGACACCTCTGGTGGCCACTGAGAGTTCAGGTTCGGCTGCAGCTCACTTTGTGATTGGACCACATTCCACCTCAGACTACTACTGTTTTCTATCCCAGGGTCTTCTCAGATGCCATGGGCTAGTGTGTCAGCCTGGAAGTGCCAGGGGGTTAACACACAGGGGCGGTGAGAGATGGGAGCTGGTAGATAATATTCCTGTCTCTTATCCTTCAGGGGGACAATTTTGTAGGCTTTCATGAGGTTCCAGAGAAACTGATCCACAGCAAAAAAAAAAAAAAAAAAGTAAAGATGTAGCTTTTTATTGACTTATCCTCTTTCTCTGTCTCTCTCACTCTGTTCCGCAGCCCCTGCTCCCTGGGGCCATCTCCCAAGTAGACCAGGTACACAGAATACTTGTCTCAGGCTCTGCATCTGGGGGACCCAAAATTAAGCATGTGTGCTTGGCTAGAGAAAAAGATAAATGGAAGAAGAGTGGTTTGCAGGGCCCGGTGACCTCTCCATCCCCTTTTCTGTCCTTGCAGGTGTCTGATCGCTGTGACTATGTCTTTGTCAATGGCAAAGAGATGAAGGGCAAGGTGAATGCGGTGGTGAACTTCACCTACCAGCACCTGAGTGCCTCCCTGCACATCACCGTGTGGGTGCCCCGACTACCCCTGCAGATTGAGGTCTCTGATACAGAACTGAGCCAGATCAAAGGCTGGAGGGTCCCCATTGTGGCCAGTAAGAGGTGAGCCGGGGATGGGAAGACACACCAGAGCCATGATAACAATGGTTTTGTTTACTGACCAGACTGCTGGAGCTAGGACAGGGCCCAGCACATGGTAGATGCTGGTACGATCGTGTGATTACATTCTCTCCAGCCTAACCAAGGCCTGGGATAACCAGCCAGGCAGGAGGCTAAAGAGCAGCAGTATCCTCATCAACCCCAGACCACGTGTGCTCTGCACTTGGGCTTCTCGTAGACAGTCCTGAAAGGGCTTCCCCAGAGTGAAGCGACAGAAGTGATACATTTTTCTAGCCCCTCAGCCCCCAGGGGAATTTGAGTTTGGGGTTCTTTTCTCGAAGTGAAACAGTGATTTCTTTTTCTGTGTTTTATGAACATCCGTGAGCTTGATCAGCTCTGTGCGTTTCAAATCACTGCATAAAATCAACTTGCATTTATACTGGATCATGGTGTTGCTGTTTGCTCTTCAACAAAAAAACAAGGCTCTAATTTGTTCTGTGTGACTCTGGATTGTCACATGTAGGAGCTGAGGTCTTGTTTCCTCAGCTCTGTGGCCCCCTGGTCAGCAAAATGAGTTGTCACGTTCCTGGTGTCCTGCCTGGGATCTTCTGTCCTGAACCCTCGGGGCTGTTTGCCAGAGTCTCCCAGACATGAGCTCTTCATTTTAAGGGTCAAGCCAGCGTGCACTCAGGAAGAGCCCCTGCGCCCCTGGAAGACACTGCATCCCTCTCTCCAAGGAGACCTTGAAAGAAACTGCCTGGACTGCCGGGGGCCAGGGGGCAGCCGTGAATCCGGGCAATCCTTCAGACCGTGAGGGGGTCATGAGGGACCGAGAGAACGAGTCTGCTCTGTGTCCCTGGGGACGGCAGACCTGAGACTTGCAGCCACTTCCTAGCTCTGTGAGCTGCCCACGGTTCCTAACCTCCGCCCCCCAACCCCCAGAACATAAGAACAGCGAGTTTTGCCTCATAGTGTTATGAGATGAAGAGTCCATACATGGGGAGCCTAGAAGGGCGCATCTCAAGAGCGTAGTACAGCTCTGCTCAGTAGACCTTGCCGCAGTGGTGGAATGTTCTAGAACCACGTCCACTACGGCAACCACTAGCATGTGTGGTTGTGGAGTGCTTGCAATATAGCTTGGGTGACTAGGAAATTTAAACTTTTCATTGATTTAGTTCTTATGCATTTAAATGAAATTATAAATAGGCACACGTGGCTATTAGCCACTTACTCATTGGACAGTGTAGACTTCGTCAGTGTTGGCTCTTAAGTCTTTTGTCAATGAATGTCTCCAAGAAAGAGATGTCCGACCCTCTGTGCTGCCCGTGATGAACCCGGGGCTCCTGTGGGGTCCCAAGGTTCCCGCCCAGGATGCTGTCCCTTGGAGGCAGGCACCCGCCTGGCTGGCTGGTGACCCCGGCGCGTCTTTGAATCCATTCCTGGGACCTGAGAGCTTCTTCTCGTACCCCCAAGGCCCACGCGAGAGAGCGAGGATGAAGACGAGGAGGAGCGGCGGGGCCGTGGCTGCTCCCTGCAGTATCAGCACGCCACTGTGCGCGTCCTCACCCAGTTCGTGGCCGAGGGCGCTGGCCCGTGGGGCCAGCTGAGCCACCTGCTCGGTCCTGATTGGCAGGTCGACATCACCCACCTGGTTGCAGGCTTCATGAAGCTGGAGGAACCTCACGTGGCCACCCTCCAGGACAGCAGGGTCCTGGTCGGGCGGGAGGTCGGGATGACCACCATCCAGGTAGGGAGCCAGAGCCCGGGATCTCTGCGTGCTCGGCACCGGACACCATGCCGGGCACTGGGGGAGGCTCGCGGGAAGGGTGGGGCATTGTGCCCAATTCCTGGCCCCCAGGGTGGCATCCTTGGGACACCGGAAGGTGAGCCTGGACCAGCTCTGTGAGTCCCAATCTTCTTACAAACAGAATTGAGAAGGTGGTGGCCACACAGCCTTGGCACCCGCATGTTCCCTCTCTCGACTCCTGCATCCTCCGCCCCCGACACCTTCCAGCACTCCCTGTCCTGCCTCTGACTCCCCACACTTCGTCCCACTGCCCGCACATACACCTCCTACACGTCTCAGAAGCCGCCGCCTCCTTCCCTCCCTGCTGCACCTGCCCGGGACCCGGGGAAGGTGCCTCCCTTCTTCCCTTAAAGCATCTAGTCCTTCTGCTGTGGATTCATTCAACAAACGCTCTTCAAAGTCCTTCAAAGTCCTATTACCCTATTACCCTGTTCAAGGAAATGCATAGTATGGTGGGATCTCAGATCAGAAGGGAGGGAGTGGTGAGCCTTTTCCAAAACCCCTCAAGTTCTGCCCCACTGACTGCACCTACTGGGGCTATCATTCTGGATCCTGAGACCACAACCGTATGTGGGAACGATGGGAACGTTTCCATCGTTTCACCTGGAGATCTCAAAGGCGACGTTTGTTTTATGAGAGGCAGCCAAAAGTAATGTTTCAGCAGAGGATACATTGTGCTGGGGGTCTGGCGGGGGGAGTAGACTGTTTATAATTCAGTTCTCACCAGTTAGTTCCATAGTTCATTTAGAATGTGATTCAGGTTGCACAAAGTCAACTCGTGTGTGACTTCTCATGAGCCCAGTCAGGATGGCCATGTGCAGTGAATCAGGTTGTGCAGTGTACAAGAATGCCTCATCAACATGGGAGGGGTCGTTTCCTTCTAAAAATAGAATAGATTTTGACATTTATTGCAATTTTGCAACAGACAGAACTAAAGTGTCTTGGGGAAGGGTGGCTTTATCTGATTCTTGCAAAGAGGCATCGTGGGGGCTGGTGCATCTATCCTGAAGAAGGTGTGTGACTCCTTCGCCCTGTGTTCTGGACCCAGGCCCAGGGCAAGGCGGAAGTACTGCTGGGGAGATTCCCACATCTGGGAATATTCTGTCCTGCCAACCCCACAGGTGCTGTCCCCGCTGTCCGACTCCATCCTGGCAGAGAAGACGGTAACTGTGTTAGATGAGAAAGTATCAGTGACGGACTTGGCCATCCAGCTCGTGGCTGGGCTGTCGGTCACCCTCCACCCCAGCACAGAGAACAGCAAGGCCATCACCGCTGTGGCCACAGCTGAGGAGCTGCTGCGGACCCCCAAACAGGTAGGGGCCTAGAGGCCAGAGGTGGAGAGGGGCAGGGCAGTCGCTGTGCTGGACTCAGCAAGAGGGGCGGGGGGAGGGAGGACCGGGTCAGAGAAGCTGAACCACGTTCCAGAGCACAGTGACCGGGGTGTGAAATCCACAAGACAGCGTCTTCCCGGTCCTGGGCTCTGATGACCGGGGGTGACAAACTTAGTGGCTTAAACAACACCCACTTATAAGCTCAGCTCTGTGGCTCAGCTGGGTTCCAGGCTCAGGGTTGGCTGAGAGCAAAGCCAGCATTCTGGGGACCAATCGGCCTCCCTGCTCACCCACGTCTCTGCAGTTCTGTGACAGGTGTCCGTTTCTTTGCTGACGGTCCCCCAGGGGCCTCGCTGAGCTCCCTAAGGCCACCCGTATTCCTTCTCACTTCCCGCACCCACATTATCTTCAAAACCAGCAACGTGCATGGAGGCCTTTACATCTTTACATCCATGTAAAGCATGGATGCTTTACATCTCTAACCTCACCTCTGGCTCACCCAGACCATTCGGGCAGATGACCCTAACTGCAGGTCAACTGTGTCGCATAACAGAGCATAATCGTGGGAGCGGCATCTCCTTATAGCCCAGGTTCCGAAGATGAGGGTCATTCTAGAAATCGTGCGGCTGCATGCAGACTTTGCTCCGGAGGGTCAGCAGGAGGGATCTGGAACACGTTCCCATCCACGTCGGGCCCCCATTGCTGGCTTCCCTGTCATCTCTCCTGGGGGCGTGGTGTTTTCTGCTTCCTAAAGAGCAAAGTAAGGGGAGCGGAGAAGAGTGGGGGGACAAAGCAGGGAGCAGGCAGCTCTTTGCTGAGCAGGGGTAATTCATTAAGTGATGATTGGCATGGCAGCCTCGCGGGCGTGGGGCAGGGCCCCCCAGGCCCCGGCAGTGTCTCCCATCTGTCTTCATTGGCTCATGGTAATTGGAGGTCCCAGCACGGCCTCGGGGGGGATTTATGGATGTAGTTCATTCAATTTGCAGACATGACTCTTGTGAGGACGGCGCTCTAAATCATTCCTGGGCGTGTGTTATTTTAAGTCATTCAGAATTTCTCATCTTTGGGGAAATGCGTTGGCTTCTCCCGAGAAAGCCCTGAATTCCAGCCTCGCTGTAATGAGCTAATGGAGGGACTGACTCTCAATCACACGGCAGGGTTGATGGAGATGGATTTCCACAAGCCCGCGGTGTTCGGAGGGCTTAATTTGGATCGTCTGCTATTCAGGGGGCTTGTTCTATGTGAAGTTCTTTCTCCGTCTAGAGTTCGTGAAGAAAAATTAACTCGGGATGGAAAGTCAGCCAAGATGAACTCGCAGACCATGTGAACTGTGTTTTCATGCCAGCCCTCGGCTTGCGCAAGGCTAGCCCCTTGTTCTCGGTATTTCAACTCTCAGATACCAGAGCTGGAAGATTTCTACACCCATAAACTCGAGGGCGGTAGCATATCCCTACCCTGTGCCTCATCGGTTTCAGGAAAGCCAGGACAGAGAGATGAAGTGAGAAATCCCCGGGCATTCATGTATCCAATCTGGGCATTAGAAGGGGGTCTTGTCGATGGACGTGGACAGAGGGGACACGGGTGGGAAGCAAAATTACTGAGCCATATTGCCTGTCTCACCTTGATTCCCCCAGAAGCTGAGCCTGGCGCTAGGATTCAAGTTCAAATACTTAATTCGAGTGGTGAAGGGCGCCCCCAGAAGGGAGTCGGGAAGTACTCCCACGGATGGAGGACAGTCGGTAGAGTGTGTCCCCCGCTCGGCCAACACCGTGGCTCCCGGAGACTGCGTCTGCTGGGGAAACCGCCAGCCAGTGTTGACCAGGGGCAAGGGGGCTGGTTGAGGGCTGCCTTTTGCAGGGTGTCGATTCCTTGGCACTTCTGGCTACAGGTATGACCGCATGGGTTCCAGAGGCCAGAGAATGCCGTCGGGCAAAACCGTCTTGCAGAGCTGACCCTTGAAAGCTGAGCGGGCAGGGGCCACGGGGGAGTGGGCAGGTGCTACCAGTGAGCGCCATGCCCTCCCAGATTCCATGCACAGTCTCACTCGCCCCTCTCAGGCCACCGGCACCGGCATTGGTCTGGGCTTTCGGTTACGAGTGACAGAGACCCAACCCAGGCTGGCCGGAGCGGACATCGGCATTGATCAGTTCATGCCCGGGATTGGTACCTTCAGGTCAAGCTAGACCCAGCTGCTCAGTGGCCCCAGAGAGCTTCACGTTTCTTATCCACAATTCTTCTCAGTCCTGGAAAATGTCCAGCCACTGTTTCTTTGAATACGGACTTCCCCCTTTGGCTCCCTTCTGGAACTTGTCACCGAAAATTCTTGGTCCTTCTCATCCTGTCCCTCGTTTCTTTCAAGTTGTCTTTCATATGTTTCATCCTGTGATGGTGTTTTGGGTCAATTCCCTGACTCTGTCTGCCTGGACACTGACTCTCTCCCCAGATGTGTCTACTCTGCTTTGCAAGCCAGCCCTTGGGTAATTAATTTCCACTGGAGCACTTTTTTGTTTCTAGAAGTTCTAGGTGGTTCTTTCCACACCGTCCTGTTCTTTTCCCTCTCAGCCCTCCTCTCTGTCCATGTCCCATGAACTGTTTTATTTCATGGGTTATTTTGTTGTTGCTGCTGGTTTATCTTATTTTATCATCTTTTCCAGTTGTTCTATTATCCAAAATCCTTGGTCTGCTGATCGACATGATTGTTTATGACTTCCTCTCATGGTAAAGCCCTCCCTCTCTGGGAGTGTAATTGTTTTATCATAGTACCTCTTGATCTGTAGCTGCTTCATTTTGCTCCTGATAGGGATTCTTTGCAGCCCGCATTGGCATGGGCCCCTCTCTGCTGGAGGCCATGCACCCATCCAGGTCACGGAACTGCAGACCCCACACCCAGCTGTGGGGACGCGGTGAGGTTTGGATTTCCAGGGGACACATTTTCCCGGCTGTGCTCAGAGCACAAATGAGCATCGTTGCTGCTTCTGGCCCAGTGGGTAGGATTTTCTCATCCCCCCTCCCGGCAGTCCTGGCTTTATGCGTCCCCATCTGACAGTCCCTGGGTGCATCAGCATCCCCACCACTGGCTGGCAAGCCTTCTGAGCAGCTCCAACACCTGCGCCCAAGCCCCCTCAGTAAGAGCTATCTGTAGGCACCCCTCTGGTAACGCGTTCCCTCGTCGTTTCTGAGTCCCAGGAATTTGCATCACCTTTTTGTGGTGTATTTTTACCTGGTTTTTAAGTGGTTGACCCTCAGCCAGTCTTCTTTGTTGTTGGAACATGTTCTTAAGACGGTCTCCCTCTCTCTCCATTTCTTAACTCTTCCTTCCCCTTTGCTGACCCTCTGTTCCAGCAGACCCCCTCTAAGTTGCAGGCTCGCACCCCAACTCAGCAGCCCCCGGGAATGCAAGCTTCTCCTCTGTGGCTCCAGCCAAAGCCCAGGGATCCCCTCCCATTGGCTGGTTTCCATCCCGAGCCCCTTCCCGGGCCAATCACTGTGGACGGGGTGGTGGAATGTTGCGATGGGCCAGACCTCGGTCACATGCCCAGTTCCAGACCTGGAGGGTCCGGTCCAGCCCCACTGCATCGCATGCACACACCCTGAGTGGGGAAGACCGGGTTCTCCAAAGCTGGTGTTCTAGTCCCTGCCAGAAAGGAGGGATAGACAGTAGTCACGTCACAAAGGTGTCCATCCCAGACCCTGTGGTTGAGGTCTTCACACTCCCACTTTCATTCAGGGAAAATGGAGGCCCAGGATTGTTTTTAAAAAATGGACCAGGAGAAATAGCAGGTCCATGTATTTATTTCAAAACTTGGGTCGAATTCTCCGCCCTTCGTTGTCATGCCCAGAAGCCAGGACCAGAGGAGACCCTGGATCCTGAACAGACCCCTGGGGCTCCATTAGCTCTTCCCAGTCTTGCAAACGTTGCCCGCTCCCTTCCCCACTCTGATCCTTGCTTCTCGCCCATCACCCCCAGCAGACTGTCCCACGGAGGTTAGCCTGGGCCCCTGACATGGCCAGTGCTCCCCACCCCCCGGGCCTCCCATCACCTTCCCTCCTCCCTGGCCAGAGCTCCCCGACTGCGCACCACACACACAGCGAGCACACTCAGACCTGCGCAGACCGAGCGGCCGGCCCGCCGTGGCCAACACCCGCAGGTGCCCCTTCTCCCTCCCTGGCTCCGGCAGCCCTCTCCGAGGCCCCTCGGTGTCTGGCATGGGCCTCTAATACACCTCACTAAATCCTGGTCTTAGACAACAGGGGAGAATTCCAGACACTCCAAAATCGTCTCCTTTAGCCCCGGGCCCGCGTAGTGACCTCAGGGCCCCCGGCAGCCAGGAGACAGGGCAGCCGCAGTGGTCTGGACTGGGGCCGGAGCGCTGGGTGCAAACCCCAGCTCCACCACCTGCCTGGGCGAGCTCGGGCGGGGTCCCCCTTCTCCCGCGATCCGGTCTCCTCGCCTGCAGAGTGGTCACAGCATCTGCCTCGGGGGTTGCTGTGAGGGTCGAGTGAGTCCGTGCGCGGACGACACTGAGGACCATGGCGGGTTCCCAGGAGGCACGGCTAGCCTGGCACCAAGGGTGCCCACGTCCCAGCTCCCAGACCCTGGGCGTGTGTCACAGCCCATGCTCTGTGTCCTCCTAACGGCCTCTCTCCCTGCAGGAAGCCGTGCTCAGCACTTGGCTCCTGCTCAGCGACGGCTCCGTGACGCCGCTGGACATCTACGACACCGGGGACTTCACCCTGACCGCCACCTCCCTGGACGAGACCGTCGTGTCCATCCCCCAGGCCCGCTCTCCCAGGTGGCCGGTGGTGACGGCCGAAGGCGAGGGCCAGGGGCCCCTGCTGCGGGTGGACATGACCATCGCGGAGGCCTGCCAAAAGTCCAAACGCAAGAGCGTCCTGGCCGTGGGCGTGGGCAGCGTCAGGGTCAAGTTTGGCCAGAATGACGCTGACTCCAGCCCCGGCGGCGGCGGGGACAGCGACGAGGGCGAGATCAAGAACCACGCCAGCGACCGCCGGCAGAAGGGCCAGGAGCCCGAGGGGCCCGTCCACGGCAGCTCCTCCGTGGAGCTCGAGGAAGGGGCCCTCCAGAGAGGCGGCACCACGGCCAGGCCGCTGCTGGACAACAGGGTGGTGAAGAGCAGCCGGCCGGACGCGGGCAGGCCGTCCGGGGAGGGCCAGCTGCAGAACATCCCCCTGGACTTCGCCAACTTCCCGGCCCGGGTGGACCTGCCCCGGGCGGGGGGCGGGCTGGGGGCCAGCGACCTGGTGCAGACGCCCCGCGGCCTGAGCGACCTGGAGATCGGCATGTACGCCCTGCTGGGCGTCTTCTGCTTGGCCATCCTCGTCTTCCTCATCAACTGCGCCACCTTTGCCCTCAAGTACCGACACAAGCAGGTGTCGCTGGCAGGCCAGGCCTCCGTGACCCACTCGCACGACTGGGTGTGGCTGGGCAACGAAGCCGAGCTCCCAGAGCCCGTGGTGGAGGGGTTTCCGCCGCGGGGCGAGCACACGACCGTCCTGGGCCACGCGCCGGGCGGCAGCGAGGAGAGCAGTCGTCTGCTGGTCAACGGTGGCGCCCAGCAGCACGTGCAAGGCCAGGTGCACCGGCCGGACTCGGCGGCCGGGCCGGCCAGGGACCCGAAGCTCGAGCCCCTGCACTCGCCCACCTCCAAAAGGAAGAAGGTGAAGTTCACCACCTTCACCACCATCCCGCCGGACGACGGCTGCCCCACCGTGAACTCCATCCTGGGCGGCGGCGGCGAGGACATCAAGTGGGTGTGCCAGGACGTGGCCGCGGGCGCCCCCGAGGAGCTCAGAAACTACCTGGAGAAATTCAAGGGCCAGGCGTAGGCCCCTGTGGTGCGGGGCGCCGCGCTCGTTTCCAGAGTGGGTCTGGCCCGGGCGTCGGGGGCGCCTGGCACTGGGGGCCACACTGGGGGCCACAGACCACCGAGGTCCTGCAGCCGGGAGGGGCCACACGCGCGCGTGTGTGTGTGTGTGTGTGTGTGTGTGTGTGTGTCTTGCAGGGAGGGGTTTTAGCAGCTGGTGGCCGCAGAGTTCCAAAAGCGGAGCAAATTCTGGGCGGGTGGCTGACGGGGACGCCAGCCTGCACACGAGGCCACCTTAGGAAGGTGATTTTATCAGTCAAAATAGAACACAGACAAGCTACCAAAAATTATTTGTTAAAAAGTGCAAAAAGACAGAAGTGATCATCTCTTTATATTTCTAATAAAGAGCAAAATGTACAGCGAGGGCCTGCAGAGGGACAGTTTCTGGGTTGGTTCAGTGTCCCCTCGGGAGGACGGCCTCGATCTGTCAGCCCTGGGGGTGCGCAGGGAGGACGGGGGTCAGAGCCCCCAGGCCTCTTGGGGTGAACCTGAGGGTTTTCAATCTTTACTTGAGAATCTTCTGTGCTCCCACATGGTCTCCCCCACCCCCATCCCCACGTTTTCTTCCTGTGTCCTACAAGTCCACTTGATTTGTATTTAATGTTTATTTCCGAGGATCAAATGGTATATTTTTCCTAAGTTAAACGTACATTATATTCCTATACGTTAGATGAATTCTTAGCAACAGTCTCAGTTAATCCATCCTTGAAGTAGTAAGTTTGATGCTTTTCTGTATCCCTCCAGCCTTGATGTTTGCTGGGGTCTTACAACCGGAGGGGGCGGGGGCGCTGCCTTGACCGGCCACCCCGGCCACCCAGCCACCTGGCCACCCCAGCCCGGAGGCCACAGCCAGTGGGCGGGACGCTGCCCGGGCCGTTCCAAGGGGACGCAGCCGGCCGCCCAGAGCCCAGCTGGCCCAGCACCCAGCGCCTCCATCGCTGGGGATGCGGGGACACCCCCACGTCGGGGGAGGTCCGGTCACCTCTGCGGGGGAGAGGCCGTACCCAGGAATAATCTACGCAGCCTCCCGCGGTAGATCTGTCACGAGACCTACTAACAGCTGAGCGATGAACCAAGATAAAAACTGTTGGAGGGTTTTTGGGTTGTTTCTCTGACTCGAGTGGAGGATACCAGCACGAACTGAAGAGATTAAAATCTACGTTAGATTGTCAATCAACTGTGGTTTTTAGCAGCCTAATTGTGTAGCAACACATGGCAAAACGCATTCATCCAAAGTCAACTGTACGTGGCAGAGGGGAGCACGGTGTCTTGAATCAGCCCCTGGGGGACTGCCAGGCTCCGGGGCCGTGGGTGGCCACGCTCCCGGACACCAGGACGCTCGTGGTTTTTATTTTTTTAATTACTAAAATCAGTAGCTACGAAAGGGTCCTTGAAGCCTCGTAACCTTAGCTGGACCTTTTAAAAAGATATTTCTAGCACATATCATAGATGGAAAGGGAGAGATATTTATTTATACCTGTGATGCCAACTGTCATTAAAATGCTTTCCGTGGCTTGACAAGTCCGTATCTCGTGGGGTGTTTCTTTTTTCACTTGATGCCCATCTCCTCTTTCCCTGCCAAACGTACAACCTGCTGAAGAAACCTCCTGTCCGCTGGGCTCTTCTCTCGGTTCCGTGACTGATCCGCAGGAATTCCTGGGATTTCTTGTCCACCATCCTGGGCACCCGCAGCTCCCAAACCTGCGCGTGCCCAGAACCGCCAGGAGGGCCGATAAAACAGAGATTGCTGACGCGGGGCTGAAAATGTGCATTCCTGCCAAGCTCCAGAGCGACACAGAGGCCGTCGGTCTGAGATCCCGCCAGAGCTGGAGGATGGAAAGCGGGGAAAAGGTCTTCTTTTATTTCATCCGTCTTTGTGTTTGTTTGAGGTTCCATGGGACTGTTGTTGCTGTTGGTTAGCTGGGGGTAGAGCATTTTTGGGAAGAAGGTAAGGTGGTGGGTTTTTGTTTTGTTTTAATAACAGCTTTATTCAAGACACAATACAGTCGTTTCTAGTTTATTCACAGAGTTGTGCATCCATCACCACACACTGGTTGTAGGAGAATTTCATGGTTCCAAGAAGAAAGTCTGTACCCATTAGAATCACTCCCCAGTCCTCGGAAACCCCCAGCTCCCGGCAACAACCGGTCTCATCCCCGTCTCGGTGGATTTGCCCAGACGCCCAGACGCGCGGGGTCTTACCCTCCTGGGAGACTCCTAACCACTCCCCACGTGGGATCGTCATCCCCACAACGTCATCAAGTGACAGCTATTCTTCCTGCAGGGGCCGGTGGGCCTCCTGCATGCTGGCGTTTTCCTGATCAAGGCACCAGGAGACCCCTGCGTCCCCGCGGCACAGCTGAACCAGCGTGGTGGGAGAGACAGCGCGGTCTTCAAGACCTTGTGTGTCCACTCCTGAACCCAGCTAGCTGCCTCACTCGCTCCTACATTTCTTTAAAAGACGAAGGCTCCAGATAAGGGGAAGGAGGGTGTGTGGTTGGCTCCAATGCTGGGTGCTTAATCTCTGCCCCCCGTGTGCACCTGCAACCAGCCAGCCGCCGGCCCTGGGCAGGTAGCCCCGTGGTCCACGCGGGTCCCCTGAGCTTCGCCAGCTCCGGATTCCTGAGACAGTGAGGACAGTGGAAGGCTTCCTTCCCAGGCAGGAGGCTCAAGGAACACCTGCCCTTGCTGGTGGAGAGCTAAGAGTCCAGGCTGGGGTGACCTGGGACGTGTCCCCTGGGACGGACCTGGTTCTAAGAGTGGAACGCCCTCTTTTATTTTCCCAGTTAACATATTATGCACCTTAAGTTTACACAATGTTATATGTCAAATACATTTCAATTTAAAAAAATAAATTAATTAAAAAAAAATAATAAACTGGAAGACCCACGTCCCATGAAGCCTCTCCCGGGAAGCTGGGATGGCCGGCCGCCCTGGTCTATGTTAGCAATACCGACTCCCATGTAAACTCTGTTGTCAGCAGGGACCACCGCCTGCCACCACGTCCATCCCGCCCTCCCCCAACGGGGGCCTGTGACACAGGATCGCACCATCCCAACCCCTCCCTCGGGGCCGGAGCCCCTTCCCTCCACATAGACCTCAGCTTTGTGCTGGGCGGGGCCAGAGGACGATTTCTCCTTTATTTGTACCTGTGCTAAATAAATGTAATTTAAAACCATTGGTCAGACCCTAAAACACACTGGATCAGTCATTAGGATTCCCCACTCTCCCTTCTTCTGGGTGCCGGTTGCTCTCCACCCACCCTGCAAGCCTGCCCGCCCGCCCCTGACAGGTAAGCCTGTGTCCCCCCTGACCGAGTCGGTAGACACCCAACCTCTGACGTATGCCCAAGGCTGTGTGTCAGGTCCCCCTGCAAATAAGGTCACAGGTGAGATGCGCAAGGACCATCTCCTAGAAGGAGGACCGTCCTCTTACGGTACCTGCGTCTGAGACTGGAGAGGTGCTCACAGCCGCAGGGAGACCGTCCAGCTACACAAGCCGTCATTCTTCCTGCTAAGATGATCAGCGAGAACAAGAGTAGCTCGTCTCGGGGTTGCTGGGCCCATTACTCACTTAGCACACACCTGTTGAACACCTGCTCTGTGCCTGGCCTGGGGCAGCGAGCAAAGGATGGAATGGTTAACGAGACCTCCGAGCGCTCGCCGTCAGAGGGCGGGGTTGGGGAAGCGAGCCAACGGCAAGGAAGGATGGGTGCGGCGGTGGGGTTGGTGCGTGGAGGGCTGCGTGCTCCCCCCTGCTCTTCCGTTCCTGCTGTGTGCCCCAGGCGGACCCGTGCAGCCCCCCAGAACACGAAACCATTCCATCTCACGTGTGAACACATCTTTAATATCAGTGCGTATTAGCATGAATCTTTATTAATATTGGCAATCGTGCGTTAATACTATTTTTACTGACATCAATGCTTTTTAAATATTAACCGTGACTACGATAATAAAGGTAAGCCGCTCCACTGAACGAGTCTGTTTCAGGCCTGGCCTGTTCCCTCGAAGCCGCCCTCTGAGGCGGGTGCCTTGCCTCCAGGCCACAGATGAGGAAACAGGCTCAGAGCGTCCTTGCCAAGGTCACAGCTGGGGCGTAGCCCAGCCGGGCCTCAAACCCACGCTCATATCCCCAAAGACCATGGTCCTAATTATTATACTCCTACAAGCTCTGTGTATATTCTCCAGCATTAGAAATGTAACAAAGCTCACCAAGAAGCAGTTTAGGCTCATTACACAAAATCTGGAAAACAAAGAAAAGCAGAAGAAATAAAGGGGGAAGAAAGCCCTCCAGCCCTGCCTCCCAGAAATAAAAATTAACAACTTGCCTTATACACCCTTCCTTGTGTGTGTGTGTGTGTGTGTTTTACCAGCGCACACAATTTTGCATGGTTGCCTTCGTGATTTGAAAGTATACCATTGCAGATGTGACTTTTGTTTTTTCTCCAATTTTAGTAGCCCATGAGCATAGTAAAATATTTATAAAAACGATTGAAGTTGCCTGTGTTGGTGCTTTAGGTTTTTGCTCTTGGATTTCTCTTTCCTTCCATAGTGGAGATCAAAGTGCAAATATTGATTTTTTTTAAGCATAATGAACAGGGAGAGTTCTGCAGCCTTCCACAGAAAATGGACGGTCACATAAGTCATGGGTGGTGGCACAGGCCGGGAGGTGCACGGGGGGGCCCCGCCAGGGAGAGGGAGAGCCTGGGGACAGAGGTCCAGCCCCCTCCTTGCTGGCCAGGAAGCGTCTTCCTGGAGGAGAGGCTGATGGCACTAATTTGAGCAAGAGCACCATCTGCTTGCCAAGAGTAGCAAGAGGGTTGCTCCTTCCTGGAGGAGGCTACAGGCCACAGTCCGCGCCCCGAGGCAGAACGGGCGCTGGGGGGCAATGTGAAAGGGGTCGCGGTGACAGCCAGACTCACCTTCCGTGGCCCGGGAAGGGTTCGCGCCATCGGACTGACTCCTCCGTAGAGAATAATGGCGTGAGCGGCACGAAGTATGAAAAGCAGCTCTTGCAAGGTGATGGATG